GCTCGCGGGGGGGGGGGGCGGGGAAGCTCTTAAAGTGACCTGCGCCCAGCCCAGCGCCAGGGGCCCATCCCCCGGCTGCCCGAGCGAGCGCGGTGCCCCAGCCCCACTGACACTCAGGGGGCCCTCAGAGCCCTTCGGAGCTTCCGCCAGGCCCTTTCCCAGTTCACACCCATGGAACTCCAGTGCCCAACTCACCCTTGGGAGAAAGGGCCTCTCTGTGCAAGGGCCGTGCCCACGCCTCGCCCGAAGCCCAGCGCCAGGGGCCCATCCCCCGGCTGCCCGAGCGAGCGCGGTGCCCCAGCCCCACTGACACTCAGGGGGCCCTCAGAGCCCTTCGGAGCTTCCGCCAGGCCCTTTCCCAGTTCACACCCATGGAACTCCAGTGCCCAACTCACCCTTGGGAGAAAGGGCCTCTCTGTGCAAGGGCCGTGCCCACGCCTCGCCCGAGCCAGCGAAGGGGCTGTTCCTCCGCCTCCGTCCACCCATCCTCAGTGTTACCACCGTTAGCAATAGCAACCCCCGGCGGGACTCTCCTCCGTTCCCCCGGGGCATTTCTTGCAATTCCCACGCTTGCTCTACAGAGCTGGAAAGGTGTAATACAGGACCCTTGGGCTACGTCTACATTGCACTTTAGTTCTAAATAAGATATCCAGTTAGAGCTTAGCTTATTTCTAAATAGCTTCTTTTGTAATTTGGCGCTGTCTACACAACACCAAATTTTGAAATAACCCGCTATTCTGAAACATCCCTTACTGCTCGTGGAATGAGGTTTACAGAGATGTCGGAATAACAAGCCCGTTATATTTTGAAATAGCAGCTTGCTGTGAAGACACAGGATAGTTATTTCGGGATACTGCAGGTATCCCGAAATAGCACTGCAGTGTAGACATAGCTTTGGTGACTCTACTTTGAACTGACAATGTCTGAGAAGTCACAGTACGCACGGTCTGAGAACCCAAGAAACATTCCCAGGAAAGTCAGGGAAGAACTGTGTTGACATACTTCATGTGAATTCCCTTTAGCTCTCGTCTCTTTGGAAGCAGTTAAACTACACTCAAAAAAGTCATTCTCCAGCGTTCCCTGTAAGCTGAGCGCTTGAGCAGCCATGCAGGAGAAATTCAAATACCACCAAGCTGATTGGCAGAGCTCCCACAGTGCTCACAGCCAGCAGCATGTATTTCTACTCATGGTGCACATCCACACAAGCCTTGGTGCGCATAACAAAATGTATTCCACACAAGAATGGAAAAAAATTAGAGGGAACACTGCTCTTAACCCCACTCTGCAAAACCACACACATGGGGAGCTTTACTAGCCTAGCTACACTGGCATAATTATACTGATAGACCATCAACACGGAGAATTACGCTGGTAGAACCAGAGTGACATGTTGGTATCACTAAGCCGAGCTGTTTACCCTGTAAACAAGCCCTAAAAATTAATGCCAAGAGAGGGAGACCAGGCCCCTACCGTGTGGGGGGGGGGGGGGGGGTGCGAAGGGTGTGAATGCACCCCCATGGTCTCCCAAGTAAACATGAGTGGCCAGGGAAAGACTAGAGAAGCATACTGCCCAACCCTCCTGCCCTCATTCTTCTGAAAGTATTAAAGTATTACCGTTGAATCACACACACACACACACACACACTATGCAGCCCAAGTGGACTTGGATGAAGTGGTGGATATCTGTGCCCAGAAACTCCCTTGAAGACTGGAGCTTCAAACTCTTCATAAAGATGGAAACTAACTACAGGCAGTCCCTGAGTTACGTGGATCCGACTTATGTCGGATCCGCAGTTACGAACAGGGCCCTCTCCCTGGTCTCCAGCAGACCAGGGAGAGGAAGCAAAGCAGCGCAGCACGCGGGCAGCAGACAGCCCAGACGCGTCTGGGCTGTCCGCTGCCCACGTGTTCCGC